TGTGTGGGGGCCTCTAGCAGTCCTTGGGCCTCTGGCTTGGCCAGTGCTGCCCACATCCGGTTTGGGGCCCCAGGCTGTGGCCTCAGCAGTCCTGTCTTGACTGGTGGGGTGGCGAGGACTCAGCTCCTGGGCTGCAGCCCAAACCCCACCCTGAGGCGGTGGCTTCAGATGTGTCTGGCCCCGTCCCTGTCCCCACAGGGTGGAGCTGAAGTCCTTCCCAGGTCCCCAGGTGGACCCTGGCAACTCGCCTGGAGCCTCACAGCCAGGAAGCAGGGGCTGATCCCCCAGGGCCCATGGCCTGCGCTGGGCGGGAAGCGAGGAAGCTGACCCTCATTGGCCTTGGCATCTGCAACTCCGGTACCCGTCGAATCTCTCACCAGGGAGCCCACTGTGTGCCACAGGCTGGAGAGGGCGCAGTGCAGAGGGAGCCTCTCACCTCTTTCCTCCTCTGCTGGCCCGGCTGTCCAGGCTGGCTCGCCCTTTTCTCCACCTGCTCCTGCTTTGCGTGCCCCGGGAGGAAGTGAGTACCCACAGAGCAGGCCTGGGCTGTGGCCAGGGCAGCAGCACAAGTGGAGCCTGTGCTGAGTGGACAGTGGGCACCACGTGGGGCCGAGGGCGGGGGCTGTGGGGCAGGGAGGCCCCCAGGGTGGGTGCGGGCGCCCCTGGGATTCCTCCTGCCATGTCCCTGAATCATGCTCATGTCCCTGCCAAGCTGTCCCCGGGGGTCCCGGGTAGCTGGGCACTCTGTCGTCCCTTTGTCCAGCAGGCACGGGTGGCCACCTGTCCCCAGGAGACGCTGCCGATGTCCTGGGCAGAAAGACCCCAGGAGATGGCGGGGCCTGCTGAGGGAAGGCTGGCCCAGGAGCCAGAGTAGGACCTTAGCTGTCACCGACCCCTCTGAGCAGCTCTTTCTGGTCCTTTTCCTGAGCCACTTTGGAGGGGGGAATGGGTGAGGGCCTGGCCTTGTGGGGGGAGGCCAGGGAGAGAAAGAACTGTGTGTGAGTGCGTGCATGTGTGTGCATGAGTGCCTGTGTGTGCGCACAGCAGCCTCCCTCCAGCCCACGCCCCCTCTCTGCTGGGGACCTCGGGGACCAGGGACCCCTCCTGTCTTTGGGTTGCCTGGCCGTCCCTCCCCCACCTCATTGTGATTTGCCACCTTCACATTTTGCTCCAGTGTAAATTTTTCCACTTGATTTCTTAGGGCTGGTCTCTCTGTTGTTTTTCTCTGTTTTTAAATCTAAAAGGAGTTTTTAAAAGGAAAAGGGAGAGGGAGGTGAGGAGTCTCTGTGGGGGCCCCAGGACCAGCCGCCTGGCCGCACCTGAGCCGCAGAGAACACCGGGAGCTGGCGGGGCCCTGGGTGTCAGCAACCCCACGCGGTGCTGGAGCGAGAGGGCTGGGCAGTACCCGGTGGGCGTGCTGGCTGTGGCCGGCCTCGGGGAGGGGGTCAGCTCCTCGCAGGGGTCCCTGAGCCTGGCCGGGGTAGGTCTCATGGTGCGTGGGTGACGGAAGGAACGGGATGTGAAGGAAACGTGGGAAGGAGGACAGAGGGGCGGACAAGCTGGAGGGCGTGGCTGTGAGCTCAGCCGACCCCTGGCTGCCCGGCAGAGGGGTGGGAGACACAGGCAAAGGCAGGCTCCTCCCTCGAGGGCAGGTGGAGCCTGCGGATCTGGGGCGGTCGGCAGGGGCAGGGGCGGAAGGCAGGCGCTGGCCCCACAAGCGGCCCTCGGGCTGGAGATGCTGCTGGCTGCGTGTCGCTGCTGCCCTTGGTGCAAGGCCTGAGGAGTTCTTCTGTGCAGGGCTGGGGTGCAGCTCAGGGAGGGAGCACATGCTAGAGGCCCGGGGTTCGAGTCCCAGCATTGAAAAGAGTTTTGTTCAGCTTGGGTCTGGGTTACCAAGTATTTACAGGTTGTCCTCTGGGTCTCTGTGAAGAAATGGAATGTGGCTCAGTCCTGTCCCCACTTCCCTTCGTGAGGTGATCATGATTCTGATGGGTGGGTTCCCTTCCTGTCCGTGTTTAGTCACTCAACAAACTTTTATTGCAAACCTAGTATGTGCCAAGCTGTACACTCCGTGCCAAACACGGAGCATAAGGGAGATCTCCTGTCCTCGTGCAGCTTCTACTCGAGGCTGCGTATGTGGATGTGTCCAGAGACGAGTGTCCCCTGTGGTCTTTGAGTCGTGCGTGGATGAGACTGACCCTGCTGCAGCTTGCTGTTTTCAGGCCATTTTATGTTTTTTGGCACTTGTCATGGTGGCATACGAGGGCAGTTTATTAATCTTAACTACGCAACGTCCCGCAGGACAGACACATCGCAGTTTATCCCTTCTCCTGTTGTAAAATATTTAGATTGTTTCTGTTATTGGCAGCTGCAGGCAGTGCTGTGGTGAGTGCTTTTGTGTGCGTCCCCTGCCAATCCGCTGGGTCCCTGGGAAGGAGAGTGGGGAGGTGGCACCAGCGTCCGGGCCACCAGGACCTGGCCTTCCCAGTCACGGCCCCAGCCCCCGCCTGCTCTGATGGACACGCCTTGATCAATCTCCAGGGCAGGCTGGGGCCAAGGACAGCCAGTTTTGATGGATGGGACAGTGTAGAAGGGCAGCCGGAGGGAGGGCAGGCCCGGGGATACTGCAGCGGGTGGCGGGGGTGGAGCCTGGGCCTAGAGGGAGGGCAGCACTTCCGGGCCCAGCAGAAGGTGGCCTGGGCTCTCACTGCCCTGGGCAGGCATTGAGCCTTGGGTGAGCCTGTGCCAGCTGCCTCATGCCCTGGGCCAGGCCTGCCCCCTCTGGTCCAGCTCTGTGTGCCTCTGAACCTGGGTCTCTCGGCCCCCACAGCTCAGAGTACTCAGATGCTTTCCTATCCCCAGCCTGGGAGGTGTGTGAGCCCCTTGAGACCAAGCCTGGCCTGGTGCCAGGTGCGAAATGGCTCTGTCATCGCTGTCCCCAGGGCCACTTCAGTCGGCCCAGCTGTGTCTGGAGACTAGGGGAACAGCTGTGGCCGAGGCTGTGCCACCACTGGAGTTGGGTCCCTAGGGGACCTCCGTGGCAGTCCCGTGATGCCCTCCCACCACGGGCGGCGGAGCCAGGGACCCGCGGGCGCTCGCTTCCTCCTGCAGCAGCAGCACAGCAGGGGCCAGTGCCCCAGGCTGCACGAGGCTGGCCAGCCCCTCCCCAGCCCTTCTCCACTTGGGGCTGCCACCTTGGAGAAGCCACTTAACCCGAGTACCAGTTTCCTTGCCCACACACTGGCTGTGCGGTGCTGATCCTGGGAGCAGAGGAGCACCGTGTGGCACCTGAGCACCTGCCACCCCGCTGGTGTTCATGTGTCACCTGGCTCCCCTCCAGACACCCCTTCTATTGGCAAGAATGTCGCACCTTAAAAAACCAGGCAAGGGCCGGGGATTTAGCTCAGTGGCAAGGCGCCTGCCTTGCAAATGCAAGGTCCTGAGTTGGATCCTCAGTACCAAAAAAAAAAGCAGGCAAGGTGGGTCTAGGGAGGAGTGGCCCAGATCTCCCACTCTGGTTTCTCCTTATTTGAGAGAGATTCACAGTCCCCCATATCCGCTCCTCCCTCCAGGGCCAGGTGCAGTCCAGCCTCTTCCTCCGGTCCATCTGTCTCCCCAGACTAGGGGAGAAATGTCACAATTGGCCCACTTTCTAATTGGAAAGAAACCATATGGAGGGGCTAGCAGGGAGCTGGGCGCCTGCTGCCACCATCAGCACCTGGCTGGGGCCATGGCTGTGGGCTCCAGGGCCGGGAGGGGCTGTGGTCAGGCTCAGGGACCCCTGCTGCCTCTCCCCAACCCACTGCTCCTGTGGCTGCGCCCCTTGCTGGTGCTAGGGACTTCTTGGGGGGACCTGTGTAGCTGTGCGTGTGTGCACGCGTGTGCCGTGGCCTGTGGCCTGGGCCTCTTGGGGTACCTGGCACGGAGCAGCCACTCCCGCTGAGCAGGCTTGCTGTCCAGTGCCCTGGCATCTGTCCGCTCCAGCTCGGCGTCGCTGCCTGTGAGCAGCCTCCTGTGGGCTGCGCCTGGTGGGCTGGGGTGAGCCCAGGCAGAGGCTCAGGTGAGGCCAGGGTGCCCAGGCAGCATGTGGGGGGCCAGGTGGCCCAGAGGAGGCCAGAGCTGGGGGGCCTGGCTTCATTGTGGTTCACCTTGTGCTCTCCTTCGGCTGAGCCCTGCTCTGTCACTGGGCCGTGGGGTCACATTCTCTGTTCCGAGCCCCTGGCCGCAGCAGGGCAGGGTGCTTCGTGGCTTTGGGCGAGCCCCCTCCCTGCACCAGCTCCTCATGTGTCAGACGCAGGGGGTCTTTAGCCGCTTCTGTGCCAGCGGACTGGAAGGGACTTAAATCCGTAAACAATGCCCAGCCTCTGCCAGCTCTAGAGAGCCGTCTGCGGCTGCCACTGGCTGGGTGCACAGCGACTGGGGGAATGGGGGGGCCACACAGCCTGGCGTGAGTCCCCGAGGCTGCTGGGGCCCAGCGGGCAGGGCCCTCTGACAGGGGCCGGGGACCATGTGGATGTTGTGGTGGGCACTGCAGGCCCACAGTGGCTTCATCTGACTTAGCCCTCCAGAAGCCTTTGCAGGTGGTCACAGTGACAACAGCGGACGCCTGCAGCCCCGAGGCCTGAGGAGCACTGGATTTATGTGCATTATCTCTCCTGTTCCATAACAACCTGGAGGAGTAGGTTGCCCGATTATCTCCACTGTATCCAAGACGTATTTGAGGCCCGGGAGGCTCAGGGTCTGGCCTGAGGTCACTTACCAGGGTTCACACCTAGGGACTCCTGATGCTGTACCACCTCTAGCTCATACATAGGGAAACTGAGGCCAGAGGACTTCAGTGACATCCCCAGGGTCACCAGCTGGAAAGCAGGGCCAAGATTCGTGCTGTGGCTGTCTTGGCCACACACCCTGCCCCAACCTGGCCCCGGGCCTGGCAGGTCTCCAGCTGGGCTCCCGGGCCGCTGCACCCCGGCCGATGACTGACACTGCCTGTCCCACAGGGGGCGTCTGTATCGCACAGTCGGTGAAGATCCCCCGGGAGCCCAAAACAGGCGAGTTCGACAAGATCATCCGGAGGCTCCTGGAGACCTCGAACGCCAGGGCCATCATCATCTTTGCCAACGAGGACGACATCAGGTGAGGGGTGTGCAGGGCCCAGGGCCCGACCCCCAGCCCAGACAGGTGGGGCGTGAGGCCAGCCCACCCTGCCGTGCTCTTCCGTTCCCCTCTTTTCCTGCATCCCTTTCACCTGCCAGGCCCGGCCAGCGGGAAGCGCTAGCCTGCGGGCCTGGGGCCCAGACCCAAGGTTCCCTTCCCACCCAGCAGCGGTGTGAACTCGGCGAGTGTGCCAATCTCTCAGGGCCTCCTTGGTGCTATGTATTATATATGTAATAAAGCAGTGGCTGCCTAATAGCATTTGAAAACTGAATAGCAGAAGTGGCAGGAAGTAGGTGCCCAGTAAATGCTGGCCACCGCGAAGCCCCTCCCCTTCTCTTTGGGGAGCTCAGCGTACAGGGAGGAGGTGCAGCTGGGTTCCTGGCCTGGACCAGGCCCTCCCGGGCCTCAGTCTCTGCATCTGCAGACTGGGAGCAGCGGACGCTGGCTACCAGGATGTGTCTGTAGGACCCCTGGGCCAGCCCCGTTCTGCATGTCCACCCAGGCGGGAGTCACAGGTGGGGGGCTGGAAGGTCACTAGGGCCTCAGAAGCCAGAAGGACGGACTGCTGGGGTGTCTCCGGCAGGAACAGGACCTCCATTCTGACCCCCCAAGCTTGGCAGGGGTCGCTCCCACCCCCTCAGGGCACACAGGGCCCCCAAACTCTGGCTCTGATGCTCCCGAGCCACCAGCGTCCTGCCCCTCACCCACCTCTGCACCCCCACCAGGCCAACTGCTTTCGGGGACTCCACCAGTCAAGGTGGACCCCCAAGCTGGGAGGGAGGACAGAGGCTGGGCAGGATGGGGTGAGGATCTGCTCCAGAGCCGGCTGTGGGCAGGCGGTGTGGAGGGAGGCGGGTCATTTCTGGAAATCCACGTGCATTTTCAGAGGCAAATGGTAAAAATAAATGCAGGTGACTTTGCAGGGTGCTGGGCTGGGGCTCTGCCTCAGGACGGCGGAAGCAGCTGGGTATTAATAGGGCTGTGGTGGGCTCTGAACAGCCTCCCTGCCATTAGCGGTGGCCCACGTGGTGGCTGGGGGCGGGGCTAGGAAGTCTCAGGGTCAGAAGATGGAGGCGGGAGGCGGCGAGGGGTGGCCTGGGGACTCATTCCTCTCTGGGACCCCCAGCCCTGCTGGCCTGCTGGCCACAGCCTGCACAGGCCCAGTGCCACCTGAGCCCTGGGTCCCCAGGAAGGGCAGGGACAGCGTCTAGCATCGCGACCTCCTCTGCTCCAGTCCCTTCCATGGGGATGTAGGGTGAAGGGATCCTGCCTAGGGGCGGTCATTGAGGACCACTTAATCATGGAGCACCCCCCTGGGCCTTGCTGGGCTCTGTTGCTGGTTTGATTGAGGTGGCCGTCATGTAGGCCCAGGGGTGGTGAGCAGATGCTGACCCCACACCCTCATCCACCCAGTAGGGTGGAGAGCAGCTCTGGGAAGACCTGGGCTTTTGGCACAGAAGGGGGTGCGTGGAGAGGGCCCCGCTGGCCCCTGTGCCAGAGGTGAGGGGCAGAGGCAGGAGGGTGTGTGTGACAGTGAGGCTGGCCTACATCTGTGCGGACCCAGGCAGGGCAGGTGGATTCCGGGACCTGGGTCAGACATGGGCAGGTGTGGCCTGGGGAGCCAGGTGTGGCCTGGGGAGCCAGGTGTGGCCTGAGGAGCCCTGTGGGCTCGTAGGCAGGAAAGGGCCGGGCACAGGCCTGGGGCAGGGCAGCGGCTGTGTGGGCTGGAGGAAGGGGACCTGGGCTGGGATTCGGACACGCAGGTGGGCAGCTGTGGGCCTGGGCTCTGCGGGTCAGGTTGGGGCCGGCATGGGCTGCAAGGGGCGCGGGCATGGGGGGAGTGCCAGACTCGGCTGGGCTGGGCAATGTGTGTCCCCAGGCGTGTGCTGGAGGCGGCACGCAGGGCCAACCAGACGGGCCACTTCTTCTGGATGGGCTCCGACAGCTGGGGCTCCAAGATCGCGCCTGTGCTGCACCTGGAGGAGGTGGCCGAGGGTGCTGTCACCATCCTCCCCAAGAGGGTGTCCGTGCGAGGTAGGCTGGCCCCGACTGCCACACCATCCCGGACTGACTGTGCCTCCCCTCCTCCTGCCTGCCCCCTGCTCCCTGCTCCCCAGGGTCTTTCCTTTCCCCTCCTTGGCCCGAAGCCTCCTGTGTCCCGGGCTCTGGGCTGGGAGGCGTCCAGGCCACACCCAGCCCTGCAGAGCTGGAGTGCGGCAGACTCAGGCCTGCTGTTCCTCCTGCTCAGCACTGTGCTGTGCTGTGGGCGGAGTGTGGCACGCTCAGAGCCTATCTACAAAGGCTTCTGCTTCACCCCACGCCAGCCGCCCTCCCCCTCTGCACAGGACAGCTGAGTCCTTGCCCTGGCTGCCGAGTCCTCTGCCAGGAGCAGGGAGCAGGCTCCGCGGGGTGCCAAGCAAGGGGCAGGTCCAGGAAGGCGGCTGGGCCTGCCCTTCACTGCACCCCTCCTCTGAAGGCAAACCCAGTCACCTGGGCAGGAACTTGGCAGGCGGCAGGTTGACGTTCCCCTCACGGCCTGATGGGCAGGGGCCTGGCGTCCGCCGCGGGAAGGCAGGCCCAGGCTTCCCCTGTCCTGCATCTGTTGGACAGCCCTGCACCGATGGGGCTGGAGGGCCCTCATACATCTGTCCCCCGTGAAACCCTCTCCAGCGAGGCTGAGAAGGGGATGTGCTCAAGGTCACGCAGCAGCGTCCTCTTCCCCCCAGCCGAGCACGTGCGGGAGCGGAGGCCCCACAGCCCCCAGGCCCGAGCCGGCACCCACTGTCCCTTACTGGGGCCGACAGTGCCGGCCCTTTCCACACCTCTAGTCACCCCAGCAGCCCGCGACGCACCCCACGCACGCGGGGCGGACGCATGCACGGAGACCCCGTGACCCTCCCGGGATCAGCCGGCTCTTTCCGTTCAGGACCAAATGAAATGAGACGCTGCGACGCAGGGCGCGCTCTCCTCCCCGAGGGGCGGTCGGGCGGGCGAGCGGACGTGGGACTGCGGCCCAGGCCCTGACCTTCGCTTCCCCGCCAGGCTTCGACCGCTACTTCTCCAGCCGCACGCTGGACAACAACCGGCGCAACATCTGGTTTGCCGAGTTCTGGGAGGACAACTTCCACTGCAAGCTGAGCCGCCACGCGCTCAAGAAGGGGAGCCACGTCAAGAAGTGCACCAGTGAGCATGCGCAAGGGCGGGGCGGGGCCCGGGAAACGGGGCGGGGCCAGAGCCAGTTTAGGGTAGAGCGAGGGTTTCGTGTTACTGTAGAAACCGTTGTGGCCCTTGGTTGGCAAGCTGCCTGTGACTGGGGGAAGGAGCCCTGGGGTCGCAGCAGAGGCGACACCTTGGGGACGCCTTGGGGTTCATCTGGAAATCCTGGGGCTAGCCCACAAAACAGTCCAGGTCCAATCCACAGTGATCTCCGCTCTGAACAGAAACCACCTCTAACCAATCAAGGTTCCCTCAGTCAGTCACTCAACAATTGCCAGTTTTGCTCTCAGGAACGCCTGGCCCTGTTCTAAGCATGGTGGAGATGTGGTGAACCAGAGTCAAAGTTCTCTGGGAGTTTTTATTTTAGTGGAGAGGCAGATGACAAGTAGATAAATAAATTATAGAATATGCCAGAAAGAACTGTGCAAAGAAACCAAACAGTTAAGGGAAAGAAGGGGAAGTGGTGTGTGTGAGGGAAATTGCCACCTTAAAGGGACCGGGGGAGCCCTCTCTGCAAAGGAAACATCCGAGGCCTGCGCAGAGCGAGCCCCAGGACCGGGCAGCGAGTCTGTGACTGACCGGTGGGCACCTGCCAAGGCCGGGGCACCGCGATGCTGCCCCCTGGTGGCCACGGTCCACAGGTCGCAGCCTTTGGAAGGTGGGCCCAGCTCTCGGTCGGCTCTGCAGCGTGGATGAGCGTGTGTGAGTGTGCCCGGGAGGCTGTGTGCGCACGCACGTGTGCACTGCATCCGTGATGAGTCCGTGTGCCTTCTGTGGAGGGTTACGTGCTCCCGGGTGAGCTGCTGCTGACCCGAGCACACCGCTGTTCCTCGGCACCCACTGCTCCAGACTTCCCAAAGGTGTCATTCTTTTCCCCCTCAGGGCGGGGGCGTCTGTAATTATCACAGGTGGGATATGGAGGGTCAAAGAGGCCAAGCAGCTGGCTCCCGATGCACAGCAGAGGCCTTAGTCAAGCAGTGAGAGCAGGGGGGCTGTGAGGGGTAGACCGTGCCGGGCCCTGGGGAGGGTCACCGAGCGCCCTGTCCCTCCTGCTCTGGTGTAGGGATTGTGTGGGAGTGGAAAACCGCACAGGCACCTGGCCGTAGGCTGGGGATGGGAAGGCGGGACCGGAAGTGGGTGCCATGGGGGTCAGGGCTTTCTGGGCCCCCGGCTGTCTGGCAGGCCCTGCAGGCTGTGTCCCGGGACTCCTGGCTCTCCGGAAGCCCTAAGGGCAGTGTCAGATCTGAGTGCCGCAGAGGTGGGGAAGGAGGACGGGGTCAGGTCTCAGCACGCAGTCCTGCGGTGAGCCCAAGGCGACCTGGGGCCTCTGGGCCTTTGCTTGCTCATCTGAGAAATGGGGTTGATGGCGAGCCAGCCCAGGGGTGGGGGCCCCCAGAAGGAAGTGAGGGGTGCTGGTGGGGTGCTCTCAGTCTGGCTGTGCGTTAGCATGGCCCGGGAGCTTGTGGTACGCTCCAGCACCCACTGCAGACTCCTAAATCAGAACCTCGGGTGGGGCCCAGGCTGTGGAGGCTTCTGAGCTCACTAGGTGACGGTAATGAGTGTGGTACAGGGGCCAGGTTCCTGGGCCTCGTCCACAGACTCAGCTGGGGCGTCCTGAAAAATTCCCATACCTGACTCGCTTCCCTGGACATCCTGTTACAGCTTGGACTGGGTGCACCTGAACCCCAGGATGTAACAAGAAGGCCCCCTCTGGTTCCAGGGACTCTGTCTCGAGGGGGAGTGAGTGGCAGGGGCACGCGGGCACCCCAGGCCTGGGAGGGACCCAGGCTCACAGGGACAGGGGGAGGAGGGCGAGGACAGTGTCTCCAGGCTGACCCCAGTCCATGCTGCCCCCTGTGGAACCCAGCAGAGGCTGGGCAGGGCCTGTGTCGGGTGTGAAGAGCCCTCTGGGAATGTGTGGGAGCCCTGTGGGGAGGGGAGGTGGCTCTGGCTCCCCAGCCCCCAGTGAGCTGGGACCAGGAGGGCTGGAGGTCACCGAAGAGCCGGACTGGGCTCCTGGAGGCGTGCAGGGGAGGACATAGTCCTGGATCCAGATCCAGGTCAGCCGCCTCCTGCTGTGTGACCCTGGACAAGTTATTTGACCTCTCTGAGTCTAGATGTTTGTCTGTAGAACCGGAAGTCACCGCCTGCCTCCATGGGTGGCTGTCAGGTGAAGCTGCTAAAGAGGCTGCGGAGGGTGAAAAGGTGCCTGAGAACGCCTGCCCCTGGTTCAGCGAGGCGCTTGGAGACTCGGGTTGCAGACCAGCAGTCGGGGGCTGCAGTAGCCTGGGGCTCTTGGCTCCAGACCTCTGAGGGCTTGGCACCCCGGAGAAGGGAGTGTGCCAGCCTGGGCGCGGGCTGTGGATGCCACAGGCATAGCGCCCTCTCCTGGCAGAGAAACCGAGGCAGCTGGAGCATGGCAGTGTGCGGCGGAGCCCCCCTGCCTCTTGCCGTCTCTGCCCCGGCTGCCGGTGTCTGGGGACTCACTGCCACCCTCTGACCTCGGGCTCCCGGGGCCTCACCGCCCGGCTCTGGCTGCCTCATCCTCTGCTGTGGTGGCCCCTGTGGCCTCGATGGGATAGACGCTGTGGTCAGGCTCTCTGTCTCCCTCCCACAGGCCCGGCCAGCCCTGCCCAAGACGGGCGGGGAGCACATGTGTGTCCTTTGCCGAAGCCATTCCTTTGGGCTCTGCCAAGGACGGACCGGTGAGCTTCTGAGAGGGCGGGAGGACCATTCCATCCTGGGTGTCACCCCTGGGGAGGCTGTATCTGTTCCTGCCTTCATTGCCCACCCCTGTGAGGCTTGGGAGCAGGAAGCATGTTTCCCGGAAGTCCTGGAAGGAGGACAGCAGGCAGCAGTCAGGGTGGCAGCAGGCAGGTCACTGCTGTGAGCTTTTCTCCTGGGCCTCTGGGGACAGAGGAAGGAGCCCTTCCACCCTCCCATGGGGTGTGAGGCAGTGCTGGTCTGTGGACTGCAGCCCCGTCGCCGAGGTGGGTGCTCCGGAGGGCACTGAGTCCCCAGCGCCTCAGTTTGCCCAATGCCTGTGCAAAGAGTGCAGGTACCACAGCTGGGCCTGGGGTTCGTGGGACCTGCGTTCTTCCTCAGGGGTGCGGCTCTCAGCTCTCCGAGCCGGGAACCCTGGTGCTGTGCCACTTGTGGCAGTGTGTCCTTGGGCAAGAACCCCGGCCCCCAGAGCCCAGCCGGCAGCTTCCGGTGAGCAGGAAGCACCCACAGGGCACTAGATGGCTCTGTGAGGGGCATCTCTGTCTCCGTCTCCGTCTCCGTCTCTGTCAGCCCTGGGAGGGCAGCGCTGCCTGCCCCCTCCTCTCCCAGCCCCACCTGGAAGCCTGCAGAGCAGGGCTTGGGAATTAAAGTCATAAACAAGGCAGATGTGGCATCCGTCTTTCTGACAGCGCTGCCAGCCAGGTGATGGCTGAGCCGAGGAAGGCTCGCTTTATGAGGAGGTAGAGAAATTTACTGCCTGCTGCTTCCCGGGGCTGGGAGCTCGGGCGGGAGGGAGGGTGGCACACGATGGCTGGGGTGAGTGGGAAGACACCAGTCACCCAGCCTGTGCTAACAGCAGCCGTAAACATAATAATGAAAACAGAGGAACCATGGCAGTTAATGTTTGCATAGGATTTATCAATTGTCCAGCTCTGTTGTAGGGCTCTGCATTTCATCTTCACAGCAACCCATTTTACAGATGAGAAACCGGGGCAGACGGAGGTTAGGACTTGCCCAGGGTCACACAGGAAGTGGCAGCACTGGGATTTGAACCCAGAGATGTCCTGCCTTGGCTCAGCTGATGGCCCTGTCCCAGCCCTCTGCAGCCTCCTTCCTGGGAAAGGGCAGGAGGGCAGTGTTTGGGGCCCTACCCTGCAGCGGCCCTGCACTCGTGGCTCCCTCCCGCTGTCAGCGTGTGGCGCAGGGTGGCGCCGGCCCGACCCCTCGATGCCCGGAAGCCGACCTGCACTTGTTAAGAGGCTGGCCCTGTCCACTCGTGCTGGGCTCTGCCAGGGCCTCTGCCTGGGAGCCTCTGCCAGTGGGGGGCGACCTGGCCTTGCGGTGGGGGGGCGGCGTGCGGGTGAGGCGGTCTGTGCTGTGGGCTCCGAACCTAAGCCCGGGACAGGAGAGAGCAGCAGGGGAGGTGAGGCTGGAGGGGCGATCGCCTAGGCAGAAGCAGATGGAGCATGCAGGGTGGGAGAGCGGACCCATGGGCTCAGTTTGCGATCCAAACTCAGGCTGGCCGCTGCCGGGTGGTGGCGGAAGGGTCAGGTTCTTGGCAGATTCTCAGCGTGGCTGCAGCTTGCCAAGGAGTCAAGGTGAGGGGAGGACCACAGAAATCCCAGGGTGACTCCCAGGTTCTTGCCGGACAAGGAGATGGATGGAATTGCCGTGGCCCTGGGGTGGGGCCGAGGGGAGCAGGTGTGGTTAGAAAAGAGGGGGCCAGGACAGAGCCTGGGGGTGCTGGGGACGGGAGAGGAGGAGGGGCCGGGGACCCCGAGGCTGCTGTCCCTGAAGGGAAGGGCGCATCGTGCAGGAAGGGCGGCCGCAGTGCACGGTCACTGCTGTCAAGGGAATTCGGGGCCGAGGGGGGTGAGGACGGGGCTGGGCCCCTTCCCTGAGCAACTCGGGGTCCGCAGTGACCTCCACAAGCTCTGCGTCCTAGGAGAGGCTGTGCAAAGCGTGACTATTGTGGGTCAGGAGAAAACGGGGCAGAGAAATCGGTGCCAGTGACAAGGGACCACTCTTGGCAGGAGCTGAGGGATGCTAGCCGGGGAGGACTTGGGTCTGGAGGGCTTTAAATGGCGGAAATCACAGCATATTTCTCCAAAGATGGGGAGTCTCCAGTCCAGGGAAAACTGGACGCTGGCTGAGGGATGTGTCGCAGACAGGGCAGTGAAGCTCAGAGGGGCTACGGGACCGCCAGGCCCGGCCCGGCCAGGGCCAGAGCGGGGTTTCTAGCTGGCTGTTGGACCTGGATGTTCATGTCCTGCTTCTCAAACTGGGGTCTGTGGGCATTGGGGACACGGCCTTGAGGTCAGACTTTGGGGGACCTAGATGCCCCCTGGGGATCTTTGTAAACTTTGTGTTTTCACTTTGCTGCCCTCAGAAGCGACCTCTGCCAACCGCAAGTTGCCACTTGTCAGCGGCTGTGATCGTTTGCAATTGGAAGTCACTGTCAGAGCTGGGGCTTCCACTTCTGCAGCCAGCGTTCCCATCCAGGGTAGGCAGGATTGTTCAAAGGGCCTCAGGGATTGCTGTAGGTCGAGGTGTCTGGCTGTACCCCGGAGCTCTCAGGCTTGTCGCAGGTCTGGCCCACACTGGGGGACTGGCTTCGCCTCCTAGACGTGGCCCTGCCTGCTCCAACTGTGCCCCAAAGTACCACGGTGCAGCATCCCCTGGGACCAGGAATTGGCATGGAGCAGAGGCCGAGTTTTAGGGGAACAGAGCTCAGGGTGCAGAAGCCAAGGCTGAGCTGCTTAGAGACCCAAGATCGGAAAGCAGGTGACAGGTGGGGTTGAGGGAGGGGAGGAGCCAGCAGAAACTGCGGTGGGGTCCCAAGCAGGACAGGGACTTGGGGACCCTGGCTGGCTCCCTGGGAATGCCAGGCAGGTGGAGGACAGTGAGCTGGAGGGGCCTCAGAGGGCCCCAGGCGTGTCAGGATAGGAGCGCTGAGGCCGCGAGGTCGGCTGTGCCCCAGGTGGGTCAGGTCCATGTCACTTTCAGTGCCCTCGTGGCCCCAAGGCCAGGTCACCACCTGGATCACATCCCAGGAGACAGAGGGTCCAAGAGACCCGTTTGTAGCCCGGATGGTGAGGCTGGTCCCGGCTGTGTCTGTGCCTTGGCTGGCCCCGGGACCCTCCGGGCGCTCCCTGGAGGTTTGCACAGAGGCCGAAACTGGTGTGTGCGCGTGCAGATTGTGAGACTCAGGTTCACACCTGTAGTGTGTGTGGCATGGACATGGACCTGCAGGGCTGCCCAGCCCAGGATGGGGAAATGACTGATCCGGTTTGTGTTCAGTGTGGCTGTGTGAGCACATGGATGCCCGTGTGTGCGCGTGTGCAGGTGTGAATATGTGCACCAGGCGTGCACATTTCCCCTACAGACGTGTAGCTGCGTCCCTGTGGCGGATCCGGCTACCCTGATGCAGGGGCTGCTTTGGAACTGCATGTGCATGTTTGCACACGAGTGTAGGACTTTGGGTCCCGGCCGGGGAGGTGAGGGGGAGACACAGAGGATGCTGGTTATTTCAACCTTGAAAACCATTTCAATTACAATTTACAACCTGCAGACAAGGGCTGCAGTCACTGTAGTAACCACAGCTCTGGGATTTGACGGAGAAAATCCTCCCGATGGTTCCCCAGCTGGCTGTCACCCATCTCTGCCTCTCTGTGCCCGGGACACAGTTAGGACATCTTCAAAGTGTTGGCGCTGTCACTGCCGCCGTGTATCTGGAGTTCATCTCCTCCCGTGACTCTCAGACGTGCGTCTCTTGCTTCCTCCCTGAGCCCCCTCCCTGCGGACCCGCAGGCAGGCGTCCTTGACCCTGGTCAGGTCTGGTCCAGCACTGGGGGGCAGGGCCTGGGGACAGGATGGGGAGGCAGGCGGGGGTTCACGGATCAGGCAGTAGGAGTGCACTTGGACCTGTCATTGGTGCATCTTGAGAGACCCGGGGGACACCAGGGGGCGTGGGCTTCCGGGTTGAGGAAGCCCTCGGGGGCCTTGTGACCCCAGTGGCCCAGGAAGGGTTGCTTCAGCTGGCCCCTCCGAGGAGGACCCCCAGGACCCAGAGGCAGCCACGCCCATCTCAGGCGTCCTTGGGAGCTGGTGTCCCCTCTCCGTGGTGGCTGCAGCCCCCTGCTCCGTCCCTGCTTAATAATTTATCCCTCTTCCAGGTCCGGGGAGGAGTGAGCGTGCTGGGGCCGCGTCCTGCGCTGTCCCTGGGGCTTGGGGCTTGGCTGAGGGTGGGCCTGGTCCAGGAGGGCCTTTCCAGGCCCCAGCCCTCGGTTGCCCTCTGGGGACAGTGTTGTACCTGTTCTTTCTTTCCTGGCTCTCAGAACCCTGGGATCAGGGTCTGGGCCAGCAGGCAGGGAGGGGAAGCTGGGGAATTTGTGTCTCATGTTCATTCCCGCCTGTGCCTTGACCTAGAAATAACGTTGCCTGTTAACACAGCTAACAGCTTTGGCGCACCGTGAGGCCCGGGGCCGGGCGCACCATGAGGAAGGTGGGGGTTCTGGGAGCTGGGGTGCCCCTCAGCAAGCCCGTGTGGCAGCGCCGTGGGGAGGGGCCACAGGCACCTGGGCCGTGTTTCCTTGCAGACCGGGAGCGCATCGGGCAGGACTCCGCTTATGAGCAGGAGGGCAAGGTGCAGTTTGTGATCGACGCCGTGTATGCCATGGGCCATGCGCTGCACGCCATGCACCGCGACTTGTGTCCCGGCCGCGTGGGGCTCTGTCCCCGAATGGACCCTGTGGACGGCACCCAGCTGCTTAAGTACATCCGAAAAGTGAACTTCTCAGGTGGGGCGTGGCGCAGGCCTGCAGCAGGGGGCAGTCCTGCGGGGCGATGGGGTGTCTTCGGAGGCTTCTGAGGGCTGGAACCCCCAAGGTGGCCCCGGGCAGCCCCAGAGCTCCCCTGAGATGTCCTCCCCCCGCCCCCACAGGCATCGTGGGCAATCCTGTGACCTTCAACGAGAACGGAGACGCGCCCGGGCGCTATGACATCTACCAGTACCAGCTGCGCAACGGCTCTGCAGAGTACAAGGTCATCGGCTCCTGGACCGACCACCTGCACCTCCGAGTAAGCAGGGCCAGGCGGGGCAGGGCAGCGGGGCTCAGGCCAGCCCAGTCTTAGCTCAATGATCTTGGCTCCCAGACCACAGCTGCCCACAGGAACTTCCTTACCTGCCCCCCTCCCAGACCTGAGGCCTGAGGCCCGCACCCCAAATGGAAGAACAGGGCAGCCTGGGCTCTGCTGCCCATTCTGGCCCTGCCCCATCCGGTGCCTGGGTTGTCCTCCTGCTACCACCGGGTGCGGTGCTCTGAGTAGATGAGTTCATGTCCCAGGGTGAGGACCAGGGGCTGCTGGGGGTGGGAAGGGAAGTGGGGCTGGTTTGGATGGAGGACAGGGTGAACTGTGACCCGTGGGAGTTCGGGCATCCTGGGGGAGCTGCATTGCACCTGTTGCCTCCTCCTGTGATGACCTCTTCCAGCGAGGAGGCCCTGGAGCCTCACTGAGACCCCCTGTGTCCCTGCAGCCTTCTGAGCCAGGGGAGCTATCCAGGGGACCCGGGCCTGGGGACACAGGGGCTCTCCTGAGGCCACACAGCTTGGCGAGCAGAGCCCCTTCCTGTGCTGGGGCTCCTCAGCTGCTGAGCCGAGAGACAGGACAAGGAGGGTGGGCGTGCTTGGCAAGGAGGACGATAGCAAAGTGCTGGAGGGCGGGCGTCTCACGTGGGTGCAGAGGGCAGTGCAGGGGCAGACTCGAGTCCTTCCCGAGCCGTACTGTGAGTGTCCACTCTATGAGGCAGGCACTGTCCTTGTCGCCATTGCCCGGGCGTGGGAGCTGAAGGCAGGGCTGAGGTGCAGGGCTGTCCCCGTCCAGTGGTACAAGGACCCCCAGACAAACTGTCTCCATGGCCCAGCCCGGCCCAGCCCACCATGCCCTCCCGACCCTCGGCCGGATGGAGCTGAGGTGGTGGGAGCAGCTACTGTCTTCTTCCAGTGGGGAGGCCGAGGGGCCTCTGTCCAGGTGCCTGAGTGTCGTCGCCCTGCCTGGGTTGTCCTTATCAATTCCCTGGAGTTTCCCTGGGCCTCTATGGGGGCGGGGCTGCAGGATCTTGGGGTGATGAACATGAAGGCCCCACCCTCCCGGAGCTGCCGTCCTTGTGGAACACGCAGGCAGCGTTGACTTCTGGGGGCGGCGTCCTCAGGAACATGGGCGAGGGGCTTCAGACCTGCTGTCCCTGCATCAGTGACACAGTCAGGCCAAGAGGCCAAAGTGCTTGACCCTGAGCAGCACCTGTGACCCTAGGCCATGACCCTCCTCACTGCCCTGACCTGGAAACAGAGTCTCCAGAGCACCGCTGTCTCCCGCATCCCGGGAAGGCCTCCCTTGGGCCCCATGGTCACAGTGCACAGGGCCTGCTGGGGCCATTCCCGCAGAAGGCTGCTGGCCCCGGGGTGACACATCCGGCAGTGCCCAGAGCCGCTGGGCAGCCTTCTTACGGAGGTTCCCCTTTCCCCGGCTATGAGGTCCTCTCTGGATCCTCTCCCAGCCTTGCCCCTTCCTTAGCTCAGAAACCCTGCCCAGACCCCCAGCTGGCAGGTGGGACTTCTCAGGGGTGAGCACCTGCCGTGTGCACATGCCAGTCCCGAGGGGTGCCCTGTGAGCGAGCTTTTCCTGCAGGCTGCTTTGCTGGAGTGGGTGTGTTCAGCGAGGCACCCCCTTCAGCAGCCCAGCGCCCTCACTGTTTGGGGCCGCTCCCTTAGTTCCGGATAATGGGATGATTCAGTGGGGCATGCGCACTTCTGTGCTCCTCTGCTCCGGGCGATTGTATCTTCAGGACTGGAGCTACGAGTAGCACTAATCTAGAGCCAGAGGTAAAGAAATGCTAACCCTGGGCACTTAGTAAGTGTCCTCTGGTTTAATCTGCTGGACTGGGCTCCCCATGTCACTTGATCGCCAGAGGCTCAGCAGGCTGAGCCACAGGGCAGCGCGTTCCTGGGGGCAGGGGCTGTTGGAACAACTGCTGCGGTGCCGGGTTTCGGGACACGGTGAGCAGCGAGACCTCGGGGGGCCCTGTGTCAGGACGTCCCGTCCTCCCTGCTGTGGTGCGTAACGCTCGGTTGCCACTGCTGCTGTCGGGGCTCTGCTTCTCCACGAGTCTTGAGGGCTTTTGTTTCTTGCAGTAGTCACGCCGCTGGAGCTTGCTTACCTCCAGCTGTCAGGTGCTGTGAGCCCAGTAGGAGTCCAGGCGGTAGGGTGCCCCCTGGGGACGGTCCTGGGCACTTGGGCCGAGGGTCCTGAGGCTGCTCTGCTGTGCTGTTGTTGCCAGATAGAGCGGATGCACTGGCCGGGCAGCGGGCAGCAGCTGCCCCGCTCCATCTGCAGCCTGCCCTGCCAGCCGGGCGAGCGGAAGAAGACGGTGAAGGGCATGCCCTGCTGCTGGCACTGTGAGCCCTGTACCGGGTACCAGTACCAGGTGGACCGCTATACCTGCAAGACATGTCCCTACGACATGCGGCCCACGGAGAACCGCACGGGCTGCCGGCCCATCCCCATCATCAAGCTGGAGTGGGACTCACCCTGGGCCGTGCTGCCCCTCTTCCTGGCTGTGGTGGGCATCGCGGCCACGCTGTTCGTGGTGGTCACCTTCATGCGCTACAATGACACGCCCATCGTCAAGGCTTCCGGCCGCGAGCTGAGCTACGTGCTGCTGGCGGGCATCTTCCTGTGCTACGCCACCACCTTCCTCATGATCGCCGAGCCGGACCTGGGCACCTGCTCCCTGCGGCGGATCTTCCTGGGGCTCGGCATGAGCATCAGCTACGCGGCCCTGCTCACCAAGACCAACCGCATCTACCGCATCTTCGAGCAGGGCAAGCGGTCGGTGAGCGCGCCGCGCTTCATCAGCCCCGCCTCGCAGCTGGCCATCACCTTCAGCCTCATCTCGCTGCAGCTGCTGGGCATCTGCGTGTGGTTCGTGGTGGACCCGTCCCACTCCGTGGTGGACTTCCAGGACCAGCGGACGCTGGACCCCCACTTCGCCAGGGGCGTGCTCAAGTGCGACATCTCGGATCTGTCACTCATTTGCCTGCTGGGCTACAGCATGCTGCTCATGGTGACCTGCACTGTGTATGCCATCAAGACGCGCGGCGTGCCCGAGACCTTCAACGAGGCCAAGCCCATCGGCTTCACCATGTACACCACGTGCATCGTGTGGCTCGCCTTCATCCCCATCTTCTTTGGCACCTCGCAGTCGGCCGACAAGGTGAGTGGGGCCGGGTGGGGCCTGCCCGGCTGCCTGCCCCACGCCTCCTGCTGGGCCTTGCAGGGTCCTCTGGGCGCTGGGTTTTCCGTCCTCTCTCCCTGTCTGTCCCTGCCACCCTGCCCTGTTCCCTGGGCGTCTCAGCTCGCTCCTTTACCCTTCTCCTCTCCCCTTCTTCCTGTTCCCACCTTCGCTTCCCCTCGCTCTGCTCCGCTCCCTCTCTTCCCTCGCCCTTTCTCTCTTAGCCTTGCGCGGATGCCGATGTCCTCATCCCATCCTCCCCGGACTCCCCCTCCCCTCTCTCTCTGGCCAGCCCCGTCTTCCTTTGGGTCCACTTCTTTCTTCTCCCTCCTCCATCTGCCCCTCCCGGGACCCCCAAGAGTCCCTGTGCTGTGAAATGTATGGGCTCCTTGTCTCCCCAGCCCCTACTGCCCTGGGGCTCAGAAGCCTGGGGGTGGGCAGTGCCAGCTGAGGGCTCTGCCCTCCTGGCCTGGAGCTGCAGCCCCGTGTGCCAGGCCTGAGGGTCTGCACACCCTGGGGGTCCTGCGAGCTCTGCCCACGTGCCAGGCTGGGCACTGCCTGGGTGACTGGGATGGGGGCTACCTCCGAGGCTTGGGAGTCACCGACAGGCATCATGGTGGGCTGTTTCTGACCGGGATCTGGACAAGCCAGCTGGCCTCTCTGGCCTCAGTGTCCCCACCAGTAGTTGGGGCCCCCTCCTTGCCCTGCAGTCCTCTGGCATTGTAACAAGTGCATGGTGGCACTGTGGGTGTAGCAGCAGATCTACAGAGAGGAAGGAGTTTCCATGCTGGCAGCTCCAGGAGGCCCCTTCCAGCACCTCCTGGGGGTCACCGGAGTCTGCATCTGGGTGAGCTGAGCTTCCTCCCCCGCCACCAGCCCCAGTTATCAGAGCCTCCACTTCCAGATGTGGCCAGCACCCCCCCCCCCGCTGCTCTCCAGGCTGCCCCCTGGCTCTCAGATGCCCCTGAGGAGGCTCCCTACAGCAGGAGCCCAGGGTGACCCCCAGAGTCCCAGAGGGGCAGGGACTCGCTCTGCCCCCCCAGCAGCTGGCTCATGGATGTGTGGCTGTGGCACTCAGGTTGCCCCTGTGGTGTGGGACATGGGGCACCCCCCCCCGCCTCTGAATGGAGCCAGCTGGAGCAGATGAGCTCTGAAGGCCTTGCCAGCCCAGATGCCAGGTGTCCTAGCAGCTCAGGTTGCCCCTGACTGTCTCCTCAAAGTGACCAGACCTGAAATGCAAGCTGCAGGCATGGCCATGGGCGTGTGCGGGGGGGGGGGCGGCAAGGGGCGGGGCTGCTGTCAGGAGTTGGGGCAGGGCCTGGAAGTGCGTGTGCACAGTGGTGAGTGTGCCCTCTGATGCAGTGCATTCAGGAGTGGATGGGCTGGTTCATGTGTGCCATGGGATTCACGTGTGTGTGTGAGCAAATCGAGCATGTGTGCCCAGGTGTGAACTTGCACACCGCTGTGTGGATGCAGGTGTGAGTGCATACAGTGACTGTATGGCTGTTTGTGTGACTTGTACATGTGTGTGTGCCCCAGCTCCGTGAAAGGTGTGTGTGCAGTAGGAGCATGCAGCCTGAGCTCAGGTGTGAATGCAGGCGTGCAGGGGAGCACGGGGGTGTGTGCATGCCCTCGCACACGCTCAGCTGTGTGGGTGGGGTGCGGAGTGAAGCTGTCCGTGCTGCTCCGGTGAGCAGGTGGATGGATTTCCCCACATTAGCCTGGATTTCCAGGGCTTAGCAGCAGTGTGGAGTGTGGCCCTGAGCTCGCCTGAGTGGCTCCCTCCACTGGGCTCCCGGGAAACCAGGCCGGGCAGGCCCTGGTATAGAGGTGGGCAGGCAGCGGGACCCTCATTTGCCTGATTTGTAGACTGAGCTCCTCAGTCCTTGCCCTGGGCCTTGGCTTCCTGTGCCCACCGGCCTTGCAGGTCAGCAGGGTGCTCACGGTGCACTGCCACAGGCACAGCCGCTCCTCTGCCTCACGCCCAGCTCTGACAGCTCCTTCTCACGGGGAGCGCATGCATGCCTGGTGCTGACACAGCCTGGTCACCGGGAGCAGCAATAGTGGAAGGCCAGGCCCTCTGCAGGCTGGAGTTGGGTGGTAGAAGAGGAGAGGTCACATCCTGAGCCCACCCCTCTCTCTGCTGCCTTTAAGATTCTCCTGGTCCCAGCATTTGAGAGGCTGAGGCAGGAGGATCACTGCGAGTTCAAGGCCAGCCTGGGCTACATAGTGAGACCCTGTCTCAAAAAACAAAAATATCCTCCCGGGCCTGCCCTCCCCTGGTGCGTGCTTCTCTGAGAAAGGCTCATGTGCTACCTTGTAGCACAGGGGACCTGGAAACCCCACCTGGCCAAGGGCGGGCTCCAGAAACTGGTGGGAGTTCCAGACCTTGTGGCAGAGAAGCTGGGGGATGGGGAACCCCACTTCTGCCCCAAACAGAGCCCACCTCAGCCTGGGTGTGGCCGGTGGAGCCCCTACCCCGGGGCCTGCTGGGAAGGAGCGGTAAGCATATCGTAGCAGCCTGGCTCCAGTTTGATCTGGTTATGCTCTGCCCAGCGCTGTGTGCAGAAAGGGTCCCAGGCTGTGCCAGTGTCTGTGCTGGTGCCTGTGCTCCGGGTGGGGACCATGGTCCTCAGGGGCTGGTGTAATGCTAAGGGCCCTGTCCAAATGTCACTTAGAGCTCAAGGCAGCGGCAGCTGGGCATTAAACCCAGTGCGCCCCTTCTTACACAGGCTCCATGACGCCAGCTCTGCCTGCTTTAATTGCGGGGGTCCCTGGCACCCAGAGGGGAGCCATTTGCCCAGCCTCTCACTGTGGGCCAGGGCAGAGTGGCCTCAGAACCCAGGTCCCTGGCCCCTAATGCAGGGTGGTGTCCACTTCCGGGCCCCCTCTGCCCTGAGAAGGGCCTGATCCCTGGTGCCATTAAGTCCACAAGCTCAGCTACACACCACCCCATCAACAGGGTGGAGGCACAGGGTATAAGATAGGTGAGTTAGTTCTCGTCACTGGGCACAACACTTGACACCCACAATTTAACAGAGGAGTTTAATTTGGCTCACGGTTTCAGAGGATTCAGTCCATGGTTAGCTGGTTCCAAGGCAGGAATATCACGGTGGAAGGGTGTGGAGGAACAAAGCTGCTTGGTTCATGATGGCTAGGAATCAGAGCAGGGGAAGAGGGTCAGAGAAGAAAAGGTAAAGAACCAGACATAGACTCCAAGGTCACGCCTCCACGACCCTCCGAGACACACCCAGAACTGTGTGTTACTAATCCTCTTGATGGCTTCCCAAGCTAAGGAAGTTGACACAATTGAGCTTAACTGTCACAGCAGGTATCTGGCCCCAAGAACCCGCTGTGTGAACATAGAGCAGTCCCTCAGGGAGCTGCAGTCTAAGGAGGGAGACCCACTTTGTCCCCAGCAACTCCTAGTTCAGCAGTGAAGAGTCAGGTGACAGGCCCAGTCTGGACTTACCCAGGCCACTGCTTGGGTCTCTGCTTGGGGGACCTCATGGTTAGGGAGTAAGGGTGTGCATTAATGACTTTCCTATTGGTGGGACAAAATACTTGACACTCACAACTTAAAGGAGGAGAAATTTATTTCGGCTCAGTTTCAGAGGGTTCAGTCCATGGCTGACTGGGTCCAAGGCACATAGGCATGGTGGAAGGTCCTGGAGGAAGAAATCTGCTCAGCCTATGGCAGCCAGGAAGCAGAGAGAGAAGGCAGGACCCGGGGCCAAGCGTACACTCTTCCAGGTCACACCCCAGTGACCACCTCCAAGCAGGCCCCACCTCCTAACAACACATTCAGGCATGAACTCACCAGTGGATGAATCCACTGGTGAGCGAAGCTCTCCATGATCCAGTCATCTTCCAAATGCCCCTGTGACTTCAGGAAGTAAGTCCAGACCCGTGTCCCACACTGGGGGTCAGGCAAGGCTTCCTGGAGGAAGTGGCACAGTGGCCCTAGGCGAGGGGCTTAGGCCCCATGGTTTGAGGGCCGGACATTGTTGCCAAGACCTGCAGGCGCAGCTTGGGTCTCCCTTGGCTCTGCCCTGGCTGAGGGGGCCAGAGGGCAACTGATGCCTGGAGGAGGTGGTGGGGGGCAGAAGACAGGCAGGAAACCTGGGGTGGGGGTGGTGGGAATTGCTGGGCCCTGGCTGGAAGGGCTCGCTATTGAAGAATGGATTATCCGACACCCAGATTGATGGGCTTTCTTCTTGCTAAACATCTGTCACTGTTAGTGTTGGCGAGCAAGCATGAAATGGGCTTTGACTGTGCTGCCACCGCAGTATTGTCGCGTGCCGTGGATCCCGTGCCAAGGCCTGCTCATCCCAGTGGCACATGTGGCAGGCGGTCCCTGAATGAGGGGCTCGTTCAAGGGTGGCGGCACCGCCCCTGGGAGTCATTTCAGGGCTCACCTCACCCTCAGTCTGTGTTGGGGCCCTTCCCGAGGTTGGCTGTGGTCCCCCGGGCCACCCTCAGGGGTGTCCCCAGATAGGAGGCAGCACTGGCAAATACATGCATGGCACTGGCACTCACGGACAGCAGCCTCCATGCTTAGCACTGAGCCAATCAGTGTCGGTGGCCATGTTAGACACGAGGAGGCTGAGGCACAAGGACGCGAGTCTGGGAATCTGGCCTCGAGTCCCAGATCCGCAGCATGGCTCGCTTCTGCCCGCAGCCCGAGTGCACAGGGCGGGCTGTCTCAGGGTGGGCGCTGGGCAGGGTCAGGCCTCGAGGCCAGTGCAGGTGGCCCTGATGCCACCCCTGCCCTGCAGCTGTACATCCAGACGACCACGCTGACCGTCTCGGTGAGTCTGAGCGCCTCGGTGTCCCTGGGAATGCTCTACATGCCCAAGGTCTACATCATCCTCTTCCACCCGGAGCAGAACGTGCCGAAGCGCAAGCGCAGCCTCAAAGCTGTGGTCGCCGCTGCCGCCATGTCCAACAAGTTCACGCAGAAGGGCAACTTCCGGCCCAATGGGGAGGCCAAGTCTGAGCTGTGCGAGAACCTGGAGGCCCCAGGTGAGTGTGGGCCCCGCCCACCGAGGCCCCGCCCAAGACCACGCCCCACGCCCCACCCCCGAGTGAGTCCAGAGCCTCCCGAGGGCGAAGGCCAGGCCGCCTTAGGAGCGCCCAGCTCCTGCAGGGCAGTGAGACCCAGATGTCCCTCTCCTGGGCCTGATGGCTGCCTGTGTCTGCCAATCCAGTCCCTCGGGGAGGAGGGCCCCTGCCCGGGCCCTTTCAGAGGGGGCCCTGAGAGGGGCCTGGGGCCCGAGCAGCTGTAACACGCAGCTTGGCTTTGTCCGGCAGCCCCCTAGCAGGGCCCAGAGAGATGGGACCCAGGACATGGGCCGCTGGGACAGGTGAGTGAGGGCCTGGGGTGGGCCAGGGTGTGGACAGGAGGCCTCAGCGAGGAGGGTCGCGCTGTGCCCTGTGGGGTTAGCTTGCACCTCAAAATGACAAGGCTCGGTGGTAAACTCAGCTACTGGGCTTGGGGGGGCAGGGACCGCGGCAGGACCCGGGTGGATAAGGCCCGCGCCCTGTCTTGGGCACTAGTGGTCCCGTTCTGCCGCCCTTACTGTGGCCCTACTGCCTGCTGGCTCCCGTCCTCCAGCAACCAGAAGGCAGGCAGGACTTTGGTCACGTGCGTGTGGTGCAAATAAGGACCAGAGAAAGGCGAGGGACTCTTCCCAGGCACAATGCCAGCAGGTGGCACGGCAGCTGACCTCACACCCCACAGCCACCTGCTGCCTCCTCCTCCTCAGACTGGTGGTGGGGGCCTCCCTGGCCTCCAGCTGCTCCCTGTGGGGAGGACCGGGGGTCTGTGGTTCCCTCAACTCACTGCGGGCCCAGCTCCCTCCCTGGGCCTGGAAGGGGCCTGGGTAGTTTAATGGCAGCCTTGCTGTGCCCCCCCCATGTCCTGGGGGCGTCTTTGGGTGGGAGAGGTGCAGAAAAGCCCCATCCCCCCGGAGTTTCCACCCTGTACTCTTCCTCCTGTGCTGGGGACAGGCCAGAAATGAATGCTTCCCATGGCAGCCGGGAGATGCAGGCTGCAGGAGGGGCCTGGACCTTTCCTTTCCCTGGGATGTTGGAGAGCCTGGAGCCTCCCGGGGGCCTGGGCAGTTCTCGCCTCTCTTGAGACCACACGGCAGAGCAGTGTCTTGTGCCCCATGACGTCCTTCCTCCCCTGACTTCATGCTCCCCACATCTCCGGGGTCCCCATCCTCTGTGGTGTGGCGTAGCTGGCTTCTGACAGGACCCCCTTGGCCACTCTGTCCCTCCCCTCCCTGCTGACCTCTGGCTCTCTGGTCCTGCTCCTCCTCTGCAGCCCAAGCTCACCCCTCTGCCACCCAGGCTCCCTTCTGGGGCCACCATGGCCCTGTGGGTAGAGAAGGGAGGGGCGGAGCATCCTTGTGGGAAGCCCGCTGCTCAGTCTCCCAGCTGCCCTTCTGAGTGGATCTCAGAGACCTGGAGGGGACACTAAGGTGCCAGAGGGACCGCAGAGGGCGTGGCCTTCCCAGACAGCTCAGGTGGCCTACACTGATCCTGTGCCCACCACCTGCGCAGGCTGGAGCCAGACAGTGCGGCCCGATGGGGCTTGGCCGCTCCCTTCAGGGGAGGGTCACAGCCCAGTGCCCTGTGGTGGAGGCCAGGGACAGCGGCACCTCGCTCCCACTGTCTCAGTGTGGTGACAGGACCGCGGAGGCGCCGGGGATTAATGCCTGGGATGGCTGTCCGTCCAGAGCGGGTGTGAGTGGGAGGGGAGGTGTCACTTCTGAGGAGCGGGGACATTTTTCGCTGTCACTGGCATGCTTCGTATCTTTAAACAAACAACAGAATAAATAATTTAGGGGCCGATGGCAGGCAGATTGGGTGTGGAGACACAGGGCGACAAATGGCTGTCAGCATGCGCCTCATGCCACCCAGCTAATTGTCATGTGAGCTGCGGGTGACTGAAGACCATCAGGGAGGGGCTGGTGTCAGCAGGGGGCCGGCTGGGGGTGTCCCTGTCCATCCCCATGGCTGGGGCTCCCAGCCCCGCTGCCTGGCACCGCACAGGGTTTAGGGTTTAGGTGTTCGCAGCCGGCTGTGGGCTTTACCATCACCCCGTTACAGAGGAGCGCCCACGGTCAGGGTGCTGGCCGGGCCGGGTGCCGGGTGCTGAGATGTCCCGAGCAGGGTGCAGGGCCCGGCCCGGGTCTCCCGGCTCCAGGCCCAGCTCTTCCTTTCTGCCTCACTGCCAGCTGCCAGGGCCCAGCCAGACTCAGTGCTCCCATCTTCTGGAGGGTGAGATCCAGGTTCCCGAAGGGCTCTGGGGCTGAAGGGGATGGCCCGGGGGACCCTCCTCCTCGAACTCGTGCCTCCCCTCACTGGCTTCCCAGGCCACTCTCCAGGCCTCCCTCTCCCTCTCCCTCTCTACCCAGTGGCTTTAGCTGCTGGTGCTTGGAGCCGAGCCGTGGAAGGTTTCACAGAGGGAAGCTCGGTTTTCTCACTTCACCAGGGGCTGGTGGAGCCCTGCGGAGTGGTTGGACGTGCAGTCGGGTGGTTAGCTGAGCAGCTGCGCCTCTTTCCTGACTGTGGAGGGTTAGACTGGTGGAAGCACCGGAGGTGGATGGCAGCCCCGTGGGAAAAGGAGTCCAGGCAAAAAGGGCCACCTGGCTCACCGGTGTCAGCAAAGGCAGGGAGGGTGAGGCCTCCCGTGTCCCAAATCGAGCTCTGCTGTGCCCCCCACCCCCCACAGCCACCTGCCCCCAGGTCCAGGCTTCCTTTACCCAAGTGGGCGCCAGCCCAGGCCACCTCCTGGTGCCCTCCCACGGTCCCTGTCCTCCTCGTCACCCGGCACCCTGGAGGGCTGTGGGAGTTTATTTATAAACTGTGGGTGCCGTGCTGTGTTCTGATTCTTTTTTCTGGGTGTCATGGCCCCATTTCCTTATATCAGCAACTGTTTGGGTGGCACCTGACACTGGACACTTCCCTACCACTCTCTAGCTCAGTGACTGTTCGTTCTCTGCTTGAATACTCCTGCAGACAGGGAGCTCACTTCTACACCCAGCCTCTTTACTCAGCTCCGTTTGTTGTTTGCTTTTGCCATGCTGGGGACCTCAAGGTTCCCCGCTGCCTGCATGGTGGCCTCTTGGCTCACCCTGTCCCCAGCAAGTCCCTCTACTCATGAAGGACCCCAGGAACACAGGAATCCTGTCTGTATTCATGGGTTTCTGGTTAGGCCACAGTGACTGTGAGGTCCTAGAACAGAACGGCAGGGACGTTTGTTTCTCTCTGACAGAGAGTATGTGGAGGGAGAGCAGGGTGGGCCCAGGTTCCTTCCATCCTGCTGCTCCGTGGGTGCCCAGACAGGCTGATGGCTCAGAACTGGAAGGACAAGGGGCATGCTCTGTTTCAATCACAGGATGTGGGAGTTGCACGAAACCTCCCGCCAACCTCCTTAGCAAGATGGCAGCCTATGAGGCCCTGCCTACCTGCAAGGGAGGCTGGGAAATGCAGTCCTTCATTTGGCTGTCCAGTGCCCAGAGAAGACTGGAGAAAGCATAGTAGGAACAGCCTGTAGACTGCCACAGGGCCATGCCCAGTTTCCTCTTCAGGTGGCAGACACGTCCCCTTTCCTGGGCTGACGGGACCTGCAAGAGATTGGGGCAGCTTTACAACAAAAGATAGCATGATTTTCTTCCACCTGGCTCCCTCCTGTGGGCCCTTGATTACAGGCCATAGCGAGAGTCACCACCTCCTGGCAGCACAGCACAAACCAAAGTCCTCGGTTGCTCATCTGCCCCGTGGGAGACCCATCTTTGGCCCTGCTGGGCTGCAAGTCCACACCCCAGTGGGCAGAGGACACTCATGAGAGGTGATGTCACCACCTGGCTGTAGAATGGACGCTGGGCTGGGCCCCGTAGGGGAAAAGGAGATACCCGGATGTGCCACCGAGCTCCAGTGGGGGGGTGAGGGCCAGCATGGTGGGGGGCAGAGAGGAGGTCATCTCAAGGCCAAGGGGCGACGGGACCCTGAAAAATGCAGAGGTCGACACTCAGAGGGCCGAGAGTCCATCCTGAGCCTCAGCTTCTAGATGAGCAAGGCCTCTCCCTCGGGGTCACCCTTTCCTCGTCCCAGGTCCCCATCTTCCTAGGCCACCATTCTGCACGCATGTTCTCACAGGAGCTCTTCCAAAATCCCAGTGCTTGAACTTCTGAGAGCGGTCCCTTTGATAATTCTTTACGGTTATGTAATTGTCGCACAAACAAAGGGAACATTTCAGGGTGTGGTGGAGTTAGGAGGCTGCAGGGCTCTTCGGGGGTGGGGAGGAAGGCCTCAGAGGAGTGGCTTTGGGAGGGGTGGTACACAGGTGGGGCAACCCAGCTGACGGGTGGAGGAGGGAGACCCAGGAAGGGGGGGGGCTGGCACGTGGGTGGGGGAAGGCAGCTGCTGAGTCCAGGGGCTTGGTCTGTTTGCACAGGCAGTGGGGAGCATGGTAGGTTCTGTGCAGGGCAGTGCCTGCAGGAAGAAGGCGTGAAACTGGCAGCCCCTGACTCCTGGTCTCTCTGCTTCCAGCGCTGGCCACCAAACAGACTTACGTCACCTATGCCAACCAGGCCATCTAGCTGGGCCGCCGGAGCCTCAGGAGAAGCCACAGCCCCGTGGACGTCACGCTGCAGGCCCGAGGCCCAGGCCCCGGCTGATGTCCTGCTGGCCCGTGGCACCCACGGATGTGGCTTGGTGCTGAGGACAGCGGAGACCTGGCTGTCCCTGCTGGGAGCCTGGGCAAGCCGGGCGGGCACCGCAGGAGCCTTCGTGTCACTGTCGCACAGGGTGCAGGCGTAGGCCCGGTGCCGGTCCTCTATTCCTCCCATCCGTCTGTCCTGCTGGTTACCTTGTCCGTCCCTTTGGATTTCTGTCCTTCGTTCTCTCCGCCTGTTTTCTCTGCACGTCCGTCCATCTGATCTGGTCCTCGGCTCCCGTAGTCCCTTCTCTCTGCTCCCCCCCTGCCCTGTCCCTGCCCTCCTGGGACCCCACATTATGCCCCTCCCGCATTTTTCTTTCCAGCCCCCACTTCACTTTCCTGATCCCTCAGTCCACCAATTCTTCCACGTTGCAAGAGAAAAAAGGAAAAAAAATCAAAACACAAAAACGCCAAAACAAAAACGAATCTCCAGTGTGTTGCAAGTGCCACGCCCTCCTGGTGGCCTCGTGTGTGTCCCCGTGGCCGCTGCCCGCCGCCTGCCCCACCCGTCTGCCGTGTGTCGTGCCCGCCTGCCGCCTGCCCTCTGCTGACCACACGGAGTTCAGTGCCTGGGTGTCTGGTGATGGTTATTGATGACATGTGTAGCGCATGATTGTTTTTATACCAAGAACATTTCTAATAAAAATAAACACATGGTTTTGCACCTGGGCTCCGCATCCACTGTGAGACCCGCCAGGGACCACAGCTGACCCAAACCCAGAGGGGTGGAGTGGGAGGGCGGAAAGGGCTTGGGGCTCTGGGCTGCAGTGGCTGGGCCCGGGCAGGGACTGGTGGCTGCCTAGGTAAGTGGGGTGCTGTCCCTGCCCTGCAGCCCGGAGGGACCACGTCTGCCACTGTGAGCAGCTGGGAGGTGTTAGGGGCGTGGCTCGGAGGAGGCCCTGCCAGGGGAAATGACAGAGCCTGGGACACAATGAGGACAGCGCAGCTGCCTGCACCACCCCCGCCCCTCCCACCTCACAGCTGGCGGCCAGGACTCAGGGAGCCAGGCAGGGACCCTTGCAGGGTGGCAGTGCGGCTGGGGCAGGCATTGCTACCCCCGGGGGTGTCCTGGCTGTGCCTTACACTTCGTGTGAGCTGAGTAAAGTCCGAGTCCGGGCAGGGGAGCAGAGTGGCTGCCTCTCTCCCATCTAGCTCCAGCAGGATGCTCCCCGAGACCCCTGCCCAGTATAGATCTCGCCCAGCTGGTAGCACGAGGCTGCTGGACCTGGGATGCTGGCTGGAAGCTTCCAGGCTAATGAGTGCGGGCGCCTGGATGCCTTCCCCCTCGGGCCTACTCCTCACGCGAGGTGACAGGCGGAGCCCTGGCCTGGAACCTCGGGGTGACGCTCAGCCCAGGACTTGCCCAGGGCCCCCCATCTGTAGGGAACAGGGAGGGGGCCACCTTCTTGCCCGGGGTGGGGTTGCTGCCCTCCTGCCCCTCAGCTTGCAGGAGAGGGCAGTGGCGGCCGGGAGGGGACAAGGGTGGCATTTGAGGCCCCTGGCAGTGGGGGGAGGCTGAGGAGCTGTCGGGGCCAGGACCGATGCTGGGGCTTGGACACCTGGCGCCAGCCTGCTCGGGGCTCAGAAGGGCCGGTCGGTCCGCTGCCAGTGGGGAGAGGTAGCCTTGGCCTCAGGGAACTTCTGGTTCAAGGAGGAGCCAGAGTGAGGCTGGCAGTGCTGGGACCCTAAACTAACGCCCGGGGCCCTGTGGGACGCCCAGGAGCAGCAGACGGCTCAGGATCTTCAGGACTTTATGTTGCAGCAAGACGCACAGGGCCACAGTTCTACCCCATGGCAACTCTAACCCCGAACCTCTGAGGTGAGGCCCAGCTGTGCAGCCACGTGGGCCAGGTGAGGGCCAGACCGTGGGGATGGAAGCCAGGTCTGGGTCATGAGTTGCTGGGTGCTCACACCTAAGACCGGGCTCTAGCAGCCTGAATAGGAGCCCACTCAGCTGCCAGGCTGCTGGACAGTGGAGCCCCTGTGACCTTGGGGGCGCAGCTGCAGACAAGCTGGAGCCCCGGATCCCTCCCAAGCCCGATGGGCTGCTTCCTGTCTAATGTCGCCCTGAGGCAGAGGCAGTGTGGACAGCAGCACAGGGCACATGCCAGCCACCCTGGGACCCCTCAGGCTCAGCCCCACCTAGGGGGCCTAGGGAGCCCCCAAAGATGCTCTCACTGCCCCCCTCCAGGCCCCAGCTCCACTGAGCGCTAGGGGACACTGTGGCACCCGCCCTGGCACAGAGAGCTCCTCTTTGCTCTGCTGCCGGCCTGTCCAGCCCTGGCTGCCCTCGGGCTTGGCCCTGGCACCCTGAGCCTCCCAGGGCTCGCACCCCCAACCCAGCCCTGAATGGCACTCGGTGCCCAAATCTCACTTCGACTGGCAAAAGCAGCAATTAGCATCTAATGAGGCTTCTTGCTTTATTTTTAGGTAACCTCCGAGGCCCTGCCTGTGTAATTCAGCCCGCCATCGCTCGGCAGATAATTAAAGCGTGTCACCATAATTTGCCTTTTTTTTTTTTTATAAAGCCCCATAATTATGTTTTTATTGCAAGTGAGGGGGGAAAAGAAAGGGGAAAGGAAACAGAGAGAAGCGGGGTTGGGGCAGGAAGTGGGGCTCGGCTGCCCTGCCCTGCGCCTCTGCCTCCACTGCAGCACGGAACCCTTGCGCAGCAGGGCCAGAATCCCGCTAACTCCGAGGCCTCCGCAGGACCCCCCTGCCCAGCCTGCCTGTGGCTTCCCTTCCACACCCCCCCTTGCTGTCCCCATAAAGCCAGCCCCCGTTAGCTTTGCAGGAATGCGGTGGCCAGGACGGGAGCCGACCGCAGGCACCATGGCCATAACTGATGATTCTCCAGCTGGGCCCGGGCTGCGGGGATTCTTTACACTTCGGCACATGCTGGAAAAGTTCCATAATCAAAAGTTAAATAAAACTCTACTCCCAGGGAGGGGCCTGCTGACTGCGAGGAAGGGATCTGCTCTCCGAGCCCCTGTCTTTCTAGCTACATGGTGAAGGGCTGTCTTGAGGCAGGCATCTGGGGCTGGTGAGCAGTGGGGCCTCCCGCGTCTGAAGCCAGCGCCCCAAGCCCGCAGGCCGGCTGGGAAGAGGTGGGGCGGCTGCCCACAGGGTCCAAGGGACCCCTTCCTGCCAGCTTCCTGACTGCCGGCTTTGGTGCCTGCAGTTCTGTGGCTAAACCTCGGGCTTCTGTGCTGAGGCGCATTCGCCTGACTGCGGTGTGGACGCCCGCTGCCCCAGGGCGTGCGGCAGGGACAGGGCTGCGTGATCATCCTGAGGTGGGGTTTTATCTGGTAACACCTAAGTCCCAAGGCCTAGAGGCCAGGCACCCCAGAGTGGGAACTGAGAGACCCCGATTCTAGGTCAGGCTCTGCCATGGATTTCGCTGTGTGGCTTTGGACAGGTTGCTTTCCCTCTCTGAGCCTGTTTCTTTATCCTTAACATGAAGATTTCAGCTCTGACTCTAAGAGCCTAAGCCAGGCAGCCAGATTCCAGCAGTACAGAAAAGGGGAGGTGGCTACAGAGAAGAGTCTTTTGGGGCCGGTTGCTATGGCAACTGTGCCCAACTGACGGGGTGGGGGAGGGCCCTGGGTATGCAAATCAGAGCCTTCCTTCAGCTTCCCAGCCCTGCCCGCAGCCTGTGATTGGAGGAAGAGATGGAAGGGGCTAGGGGAGGGGAGCGGCTGCAGCCTGGAGGAAACCGTGGGGTTCAGTCTCAGCTGGACAGGCCAGGCGTCCCGCGCACTGGGCCCCCGCATCCCTCCCCCAGCCTGGCCTTGGGCTCCTGTGGGTTTTGCATGGTGGGCACTCCTGGCTGGGCCCTCACTCCTGTGCCCCCCTAGGCAGCGGGTCAAGGTGTGGGCAGAAACACGGCGGTCCCTGCGGGCCTGGGCCCCGGGCCCCTGTCCTGTGCCACCCTGGGAGCAGCACGCCACTGCCCGCGTCAACTGCCCGCGTTGCCTGCCCCCGGGCCGGGCCAGGGTGGAGGAGACTCCCTGCCGACCCACCCAGCCTTGCAGGACAAGCCCTCACCCTGTGGAGAGGCTGAGACTCCAGGGCCGATTGTTACCTGGACAGCTTCTCCCATCCTAACTAAGGCGCCTTAGGGGAGCACCAGGCCAGGCTTGGGGCAGTGGCTCTGCCAGCCTCCGGGTGTCTGAGTGTGGCTCTGGCTACACCCACTCGCCCTGCCCCACGGCCCCTCCTGACTGCTTCCTGTCCCGGACCCCAGGGTTCCTGTCTGGGTGACCAGCAGCCAAACAAGCCCCAGACACTCATCCGACCTGACACAGCCGCTGCGAGTCCTCTGCCTCCCGTGCCCAGAGCCACCTCCTGGACAACCACTGGCCAGCGTCTCTGCGGGGTCCCTGTCGGGGTCTTCCCCACCTCCACCCTCAGCCTGTAACCATCTCCTCCCCGCGTGACTGACTTGCAACTTGCTTTGTCTCTGTCTGTATCTTTGACATCTCCCTTGCCTTCGTCTCTTTGTGTCTCCTCTGGGGGCTTTTTAAAAACAACAAAAACAAACAGGTTCTAGCGAAATCACTGACTTGCCCCAGCTAGGCTCGAACTTGGGATCCTCCTGCCTCAGCCTTCTAGAGAGCTGGGACTATAGGCGTGCGCCACCACACTGGACTTCCCCTCACCCCTTTTAAGCTTTTTCCTTTCTCACTGTTTCTAAACAACTTGATTATGGTGTGATTTTCTTCATGATTCTTGTACTTGAATTTTGCTGAACTTCTCAATTCTCTGGGTCTACCGTTTCCATTATATTTGGAAAAATTGGGGCCATTATTTCTTCAAAAATGTTTCAGTCTTCACCTTTATCTTCCCTCCTCGGGAGGCTTCTGCTGCACACGTATCAGGTCTCAAAGTTGTCCCAACAGCTCAGGAATGCTCTATTTGTTTCGTCCTTTTTTTCTCACTTTGTAGTAGCCCAGGCTGGCCTTTAACTTGCAGCAATCCTCTTGCCTCAGCCTCCCAAGTGCTGGGATTGCAGGCATGAGCCACCGTGCCTGGCCTGCTTTTCATTTTCTATCCTTTCTATTGCAATGTTTTCAAAATCACTACCCAACCGGCTGTTAATTGTATCCGGTGCACTAAGAAAAACAAAATCTCAGCCTTGTTGCTTTTATCATTACAAGCGGTCTGCCTCGCTCCTCCCAAGCCTTTAGCTGAAAGTGTGCTTCCTCAGCTCGGGGCCGCGTGGAGTACCATCCTCACAGCTCTCGGAATATCCTTGTCCACCAACCTGGTGTCCTCCCTGTCATTGCCAGCTTGGCTTCAACTGACTGCATTTTCTTTTCCTTAGGGCTGCGCCCTCCTCTCCTTTGTAGCCCTGGGGACTTTTTTATTGGGTGCTGCACATCGTGGATTTTGCTCCATTGGGTGCTGGTTATTTCTGTGCGCAGAGAAATCTTCAGCTTTGTCCAGAATGCGGTTGTCACTAGAAATGGGTAAGTGCTTGGAGGTTTTCTTTGTGGCTTTGTTGGGCGGGACCAGGGTGAGCAGCACTGTGTCCAGGGCTCAGGGTGCCGGACCCCTTGTGTCCTCCATCCTGGGCTCCGAGTCTCAGAGGTCCCTGGGGCCAGGGTCGTGAGTGGGTTCCGCAGTCAGGGCAGGTGGTTCCTTCCCAGAACCCAGGGCTCA